GGGGGGGGGAGAACGCACAGCCCAAGCTGTTCCTACCAGAAATATTTGGTTATTATGTGTGGAGTTGTTGCATCATCACAAAAGTCACGATGCTCAGCCAGAGCAAAAGGAGGTATGCTGATTATTTTAGGGGAAAGAGGTTATATTAAAAAGGAAATGTGCTGTTCTTGTATGCAGGCAAATGGAAAAGGTTATGTAACTCTTTAAAGTAGGCTTGAAAGCCAGAACCTAGGAATGGGAGCGCTTCAGTGCTCAATTTCTTTTTCTCATGATAGATAGATAGATAGATAGATAGATAGATAGATAGATGATAGATAGATAGATAGATAGATACTGTTGCGTAGATTAATAAATGAAGTTTGACTTCTTAGTGAGACTACTTTGCAGAAGCCACTGTATGGGAGTCTCTCTCATCTCCCCCCTCCCCCCTCCACACACACACTCACTCCACTGCTGTTAGTGCATTATTTGCAAGCTCCCGGAGGGTGTATTTTTAGACCTTGTGTGACATTAGAGACATGCCTTTTATTTTGTCTGAAAACGAACCAAGTCGATATTTAGAGCCAGATATTAGTTCCTCCAGATTGTCGCACAGCTTGAACCTTTTGTTCCGCTTTGTGTTTTACTGGCTCCTTTCAGACAATTAATATGCTAATCTCTTTTCCACAACTGTTGCAGTTCTTGGAGAAAGGGGCGGGGGAGACACACAAAAATGCCTAAATGGCCGCATCGCGTGAAGTCAGGAGCTTCCCATTTGTCAGGGGCATTTGCCGAGAAAGGTATCTAGGTCAGCTTGCGGGCTTCTATCTTTGTCGGGAAGGCCAATCATTTTGTGGGTTTTCAGCATACGAAATGGTTCAGAGGAGGTAAGAGAAGGAAATATGTTGCGGTCATCATCTCTTTGTCGTCTCTTTAGGCCCAAACGAGACCCATGAGGGTAGTAGCCCTAGTTGCTCAGGGTGGCCTGATCTTGCCAGAGCTCAGGAGCTAAGCCGGGTTCACTATTTAGGTGGAAGACCACTAAGGAAGACTGGGGCTGCCATGCAGAGGAAGGCAGTGCCAAACCGCCTCCGTTCATCTCTTGTCTTCAAAACCTCATGAGCTAGGACGCCAGGGGTTTGCTGTGAATCGGTTGCAACTCAGTGGCACACCTCACCTGAGAGCCGTGAGGACTAAGAAACCTATTCCTTTGGAGGGCGAATTCTTCAGTTGAATGCATGAGTTTGCCCATGTACCAGGTCAGGCCCCTTGTTCCAATTAACCCAGTACTGTCTGCTCTGAACCAGGTGAACTCCACAAGGCTTGTCTAAAGGGGGGGGATTGCTCTTTGCAGGTCTTCAACAGGGATGCTGACAAAGAGCACCCCCTGCACACTGTCAAAAATAGGCACCTGTCCCTTCCTTGCTAGTTCCCCCCCCCCTTTCCCACTCAACACATTTTACCTTTGCAAGCGGTGAAGGGAGGTAACCAGTTCAGAAACCCAAGGAAACTACAATTCCCATGAAACCTGGCAGGCGGTGATGGCCAGAGAAGGTCAGGAACTGTAATGATAAGAACAGGCCTTATCTGATGTTGAACATGTCCTCCTGCGTTGGACTAGATGATACCTGATCTGGGTCTCAGTAAATGAACATGTGAAGTTACTTTGGGCCTTTTTAGGCATTACTTGGTACAGAGCCAGACCTGTAGGCTGCTGTGACTGGTAGCCACTCTCCAGGGTCCTGCTGCCTTTGGTCTTTTAATTGGAGACTGAATTTGAGACCTCCTCTAAGCAGAGCATGGCCTCTCCCCAAATATGAACACTTGAAGCTGCCTTATACTGAATCGGGCCATTGGCCTATCAAGATCAGTACCGTCTACTCAGACTGGCAATGGCTCTCCCAGGTCTCAGACGAGAGGTCTTTCATATCACCCCCTGCCTGATCCCTTTGACTGGAAATGCCAGGGATCAAAGCCGGGACCTTCCACATACCAAACAGATCCTCTATCACTATGCCACAGCTCCTTCCCTAAACAGGGGCTCCTTGTTCCTATGAATCAGAAAGGAAGAGAATGGAGTGTAACAGGATTCCTGTACACTTAAGGTGGCTATGCTGCGCAGTAAAGTTCTCACAGCTGCTGTCCACGTGGAGAGGCTGTTGTTTCCCTTCCCGGGAGTTCTGACAAACAAACTTTTCCTGGAGACTTGACATGTGGTGGCCTGTCTTTGGCTTTTTAAAGGCCCATCCTGCAAGCAGGGGAGGTGCAGATTCAGATAAATAGCTGTCGGTTTTATCCTACATGATGATGGACATTGTTCCTATATCGTAGTGAACGTTGTTTCTGAAATTTGGGGGTCAGGGGGGCACGGGAAGGCCAGATTATGAAATATTAATCTGATCCAAATAAGTTTTATCTCTTCTGTTTTTTTAAAGCAACTGGAAGAAAAACTGAAGGGGCAAGCGGATTATGATGAGGTGAAGAAAGAATTAAAGTAAGTTTTTGCATATTTATTATTATTTTGTTGTTGTTGTTGTTGTTATTATTATATCATATCAGGTTGAGCTGGACAGCGTGGATTCTGAAAAACCTGATGATTTTCGTCTAGTAAAAGTAAAGGTTTCCCTTGCTCGAAAGCCAGTCGAATCCGACTCTAGGGATGCGGTGCTCATCTCCGTTTCCAAGCCGAAGAGCCAGCGCTGTCCAAAGACGTTTCCATGGTCATGTGGCCGGCATGACTAGACGACGAGGCATGCTAGGAGCCCATAAATACATGAACAGGAGGAAGGGTCAAAGAGAATCAGTGAGGGAACGTCGGACAAACAAAATAGTCTTCCATCGCTGGCAGCAGACAATGATAGAAGGGGACGGCCAAATCTCCCTGGGGAGGGCATTCCATACTTTTGGTGCCATGACCAAGAAGGTCCTTTCCTGCATTAGTTACCTGGTCGTTCCTAGCCAATCAGGGATCACAGAATGATGATGATGATAATGTAATGCTACTCAGCTATACAGTGGCTATACAGTGACATCACCAAGGCCAGTAGTGAGTTAGGACAGTATGCTTTAGCCATGTGGCTGGTACCACCCAAACAGGAACGATCCATTGAGCAGTGCATTGTTGCAGTGTAATGTATAGAAAATTGTATTTGTCAACATGATGATCTCACTGGAACATTGGGGGTGTGTGTGCCAAAAAGTCATTGAAAAAGGCACACTTGGGAGCGCACTGCTGAAAACAGAAACAAATGTGGCTGGCTACAAGACTAGATATGGCTCTTTAAAAAAAGGAAAGGGAATCTTTAAGTTATGTTGGAGTGGTGGGTGGGATGCTTGAATGACGAGTGTATGAGGACAGCGGCAGGCAAAGATTTTTAGAGCACTAAAGGACTTTGTGACCTGGATGTCCAAGGCTAGCCCTATCTCGTCAGATCTCAGAAACTAAGCAGGGTCGGCACTGGTTAGTATTCGGATGGGAGACCACTAAGAATGTCTAGGGTCACTATGCAGAGGAAGGCAATGGCAAACCACCTCTCTTGGTCCCTGCCTTGGAAACCTTATGGTGTTGCCATAAGACAGTGTGACTTGACGGCACTTCACATACACTCTCTCTCACACACACAGGATTACTTAGAGTAGCTTTACAGAAGGGAAAATGAACAGTTGCCAGTAATCCAAGTGTAAACCATGCCCAGATTTACGCCAGTAGACTAAGACAATTATGCAGGGTGCTCCGGTGTATATTTACTTATTGTGAGAACAGTGGTTGGACTGTGGAAAATGTGTGAGTTATTAATCCGCACGTCAGTTATCAGTGCTGTTAAAGTGTATGATTTCAGTTTTGCAAACTGACTTTCTTATATTGGCTCTTCATTGGCCTCTTGATCTGAGTTTTGACATTCTTTGGCTCTTTAATTGTCCAAAGTGGCCAACACTCTCCAAGCTCCTCCTGGGACATTCAGGGATCCCATGGTAAAACAGGATGGATGCAGAGTGGCTGCTTGAGATTAAGGCCTTGAATCCTGCCAGCCTAGCCACGAGTGTTAGACCCTCCCAGCAGCTCTGTTGGAAGGAGTCAGTCCGGCCGGGCCAGGCAGCTCTCATTTGCAGAGTCCTTTAATCAGGACAGGGGACTGAAGTACAAAGTCGCATCTTTAAAATGTATTGTAATTTTTCCAGATGCTTCATAGCGCTTAAGAAATATTAAGCAATTCTTTGGCCCTGTCACCAGAGAGCAGAAGATTATTAAAATGAGAAATAGCTACTGCTATTTTTAATGTGTTTTCTTTTAAAAACCCGCAGCATGTATCAGGTCACACAGATAATTGCGCATATTTTCCTTGATGTGCCCATTGATCTACTTCACCTGTATTTATATTTCATATTTCATGACAGCGTTCTAACCGTGACGGCTGTTTCCTTGTTATTTCTATTTTTAATTTTTTTTTTGTTGCGCTTTGTTATCACTTTTTTTTTTGCCTCCCTTTCCTTCGAGCATCGCACATAAATTTATATTGTTTCTGACAGTTTAAAATGTTATATCCTTATTAACCTTTACATTTATGCTCCAAATGAGCCTGGTGGGACCTGCACGCTCAGTGATTTAGAGGGACGCTTGAGAAAATGTTCCCGTCTGCTAACTAGTGTGAATAGTTATTCTATATTCATTATCAGATTATATTGCTGCAAAGAAAAGTTGTTAAAGTTAGCACTTAGGGTGTTCCTGGAGAGCTGAAAATTACAATGTTAATGCTCATTAGCGAGGCCGTTATTGAAGGGACGGAGCGGAAAATAACTCTTCCTCTTTCCACTTCACAGCATCTTGAAGTCCATGGAGTTTGCCTCGTCTGATGGCTCCAGCGCCCAGGTAATGGATTTCCTGTGGATTTGGGGGGCGGGGGGGGGGGGGCAACCTAAACAGAACGATAAAAAGTAGAGACATCACCCTGCCAACAAAAGTCCGCATGGTCAAAGCAATGGTATTCCCAGTAGTCATGTATGGCTGCGAGAGTCGGACTAGAAGGAAGGCCGAGCACCGAAGAATAGATTCTTTTGACCTATGGTGCTGGAGAAGACTCTTGAGAGTCCCTTGGACTGCAAGGAGATCAAATCAGTCAATTCTAAAAAAATCAACCCTGACTGTTCCCTGGAAGGCCAGATAATGAAACTGAAGCTCAGATACTTTGGCCACCCAATGACAAGGGAGCACTCACTGGAGAAGACCCAAGACCCTGATGCTGGGAAAGACTGAAGGTCAAAGAAGACCGGGACGGCAAAGGATGAGATGGTTAAACAGTGTCATAGATGCAACGAACATGACGTTAAGCAAACTCCAGAGGACGGCAGAAGACAGGAGGGCCTGGCGGGAGCTGGTCCATGGGGTCGCGAAGAGTCGGACTCGACTGTGCGACTGAACAACAACAACAAGGGGGGGAGCAGAGCCCAAGGAGGTTTCGAACGCATTTGGGAACAGCGCAGCTGGGGTTCTCGTATAACTTTTCATCTCCCTCAGTAGCCCACTGGCATTAGGATTTAAAGTGCTGGCATTCAAAAGCCGCAGGAGTGCAGAAACGCCGTGAGAGTTCCTGTGGCTTTCTGGGATCAAGGATAGTTTCAGAGGTAGCCATGTTGGTCATCAGTAGACCAGTTAGGTTTGAATCCAGTAGCACCTTAGATATCGACAAGAGTTTCAGGACACAGGCTCCTGAGAGTCAAAGGTCCCTTTAGCAGATATGAGGAGGAATGGAGAGCTGAGTCCAGATATCCCAGTCAGAAGGTGGGAGGGGTGCTGCCAAGAATGCTTGCAAAGGATGCAGAGGTGCCATGCATATTGTAATCATCTTGATTAGAACACGGTGTCGGCCTGGCCTACCTCACAGGGTCGTCTTGGGGATAAAATGGAAGAGCAGAAAATAATGGAATCCTTCCAACCTGGGGAGAATGACGGGGTGCGCATAAAGTGAAATAAAACGAACAAGCATTTCCTCTCTGCTCCAGTCAAGACACTTACAGAGAGGAAATGCTTGTTGGTTTTATTTTACTTCATGCAGACTCTCTCTTTCTCCCCAGCTGGGAACGATCCCATCATTTCCCACTGTTCCATTCTGTCCTCACAGCAACCCTGCAAGGTAGGCTAGGCTGTGAATGTGACGGGCCCAAGGTCACCCAGCAGGCTTCCATGGCATGAGCGGGAATCGTAGGCCAACATTCTAACCCCCGCATTATGTTGGCCGTGTTGGTCGAGTTGGACTTAACAGAGCTGAGTTCACTTTCCCATTCAGCTGGGGACTCAGCTGGTGTGCTCTGGGAGCAAGAGCTCTGTCCGCCAGTTCCAGCAGAAATGAAAATGATCCCTCTATCATGATGGTAAAATGAGGGGGGGGGACTCTGCCTCAGCAGAAGAACATCTGCTTTGCATGCTGAAGGTCCCAGGTTCTGTGGGGAAAGACCTTTCTCTGCCTGAGAGCCTGAAGAGCCACCACCGGGAAGAATAAACAGCACAGAACTGGGCAGCCTGGCAGAGTGTGAGAAGGCAAGATTATATTTTTTTAACAAAAGTAGGGACGGTGGAGATTTTGCCACAAACGTATTTGACCTTCAAACTTACCGCGTTCGAAGATTTGTTGGGGAATTCAGCCTCCTGGTTCACACTGGGAGTCGACAAGAATTTGACACAGAAGCAGCTTTGTAAAATGCAAAGGGGGAAAATTTATTTGGAATCGCAAGGAGAGCCCCCAACCATCCGCAGAGAGAGAAGGGGGGGGGGGTGTCTTTCTGAACAAAGCATTTCCCAAGAGATGTCAATCAAAGACAAATGATTCACATGATCTGTTCAGTTTGTGCGGAAACACAGCATTCATTTATGACTGATCTCTGTGATTTGCAAGTTATCTGTCTTTAAAACAATTGCCTGCCAAGGGAGGCCGTAATGCCACAAGGATTGGGGCCAGGGGGTAGTCGCACTCGATCAGGCTGCAGGAGAACACAGATGTGTGAAAAGTTAGTTGTGTTGTAATGCGCGGCTAGGAAATAATACAGCAAACGAACCTGTCAAACACCAACAAAAAAACTGGCAAAGTATTAAAAAATCTTGTCAAAAAATCTTGTCCCTGTTCCTGATTGGTGAACACATGAAGCTTCCTTATACTGAATCAGCCTATTGGTCCATCAGGGTCAGTATTGTGTACTCGGACTCACAGTGGCTCTCCAGGGTCTCACAAGCAGAGACCTTTTACATCACCTTCTACCTGGTTCTCTCCAAGATGTTAGGGATTGCACCTGGGACACTCTGCATGCAAGGCAGATGCTCTGCCACTGAGCTATGGCCCCTCCCCAACAGGAGATGAGCCGAACATGACATGTGCAGGTGTTTGAGTTTCCCTAAAAAAGAGCTGACATAGCTTTGTGGCAAAATGTGCAATCTCGGAAGGCACTGGTCTCAGCCACAAACCCACCAGGTGGCCACGGGCAGACCAATAACCTCTCAGCTTTCACTCCTCCCTGCCTGTGAAGTAGGGTTAGTGAGACCACCTTTTGCGATCCTTGCCAAGATCACTGAGTGTACATGAAATTGTTTAGTATCCCTTTATGGTGCTTTTCACATTATGGGGTCATTGATAAAGCGAATGATTCTGATGAGTATTATGAATCTTTAGCGTTTAGAAAGAAGAACTGGGATGATTCCATTTGGTGAAGAGAACTGATAACCATTAAATAGAGGTGGAATATCTAGAATCTAAACTCCTCTCTTGTGTCTACTTAAGAGAGTGTCTCCCCCGATCCCAAACTGGTGTTTTTCTTGACTTCCATTTATGAAGATGATGATTAAACAGTCCTGAACACGTGAAGCTGTGTTGTACTGAATCAGACCTTTGGTCTGCCTGGATCAGTATTGTCTCCTCTGACTGTCCGTGTCTCTGCAAAGTCTTGGGTAGAGTCCTTCACACCATCTGTACCTGCCAGGGATTGAACTTGGGACCATCTGCGTACGAAACAGCTGCTTTGCCACAGCACCTCTCAATAAGAAAGTCTAAAAGAGCGACTGCCAAAAATTATCAGGGCTTTGTGCTTAGAGCAAAGACTTCTTAAACCAAAAACGCCTCCCATTTTTCAGTGAACACACATGCATGCAAGATCTGCATCTGTTTGTAAGAAACAGCCACCATGTGTTCATTTGATAAATGAAACTGGGGACCAGAACCCAAATAAACCTGTGGTTTCAATCACATGTTAAGCTGTATGTGCATTGAATGTAACATGAGAATTATTTTATACACCTACGGAAAAATCAGGTGTACACAGATTGCTCATGTGTTCACTGTAACGTGTGAACCAGGCTTCGGTGCATGAGGGGACGAGAAGGATGGAACGCATGGGCCCAAGGATTTCAGGCTTGTTCACATGCAACACATGAAGCTGCCTTATACTGAATCAGGCCCTTGGTCTATCAGAGTCAGTACTGTCTACTCAGACTGGCAGCAGCTCTCCAGAGTTTCAGGTGGGGGTCTTTCTCGTCACCTCCTGCTTGGTCCTTTTAACTGGAGATGCCAAGGATTGAACCTGGGACTTTCGACATCACAGATTGCTGTTTAGTTGACATCTGAATGCAGCAGCTGGATTTTTCCTTGTATTACTAGTTGACTGGTAAAAGGAAATCCTAAACTTCAAGCCACCTTTACTGCACCGTTGAACTAAATAGAACAAAGGCGGTTTAGGTGGGGGAGTTGGCAACTTCTGGCCTTTACAGCATATTAATCTCACATCAGAGCAAAGGTTACAAATTGGATTCCAGCATCTTTAGCCCAAACCCGAAACGACATTTCCGTATCCCGGACACGTTACTTTCAGTAGGTTTC